CTAATTTAAAATATACGTACCAGATTCCTGGTAGTCAACACTACATGAATAAGTGATATTTGCTCAAAATGTTGAACCTCACCTTCAAGTTTGGCATGCTCCAAATCCAGGACTCTCAAAAGACGGTAATACTGAGAATGGCTATAAGAAGGAAAGGTGAGGGTAATAATCCACAAAAAAACCCATAAATGCTGAAACAAAAGGGATAAGAGATAAGAGAGTCAGTGGTATAGAGAGGAGGACAAAGGTAAGATAGAAGAGAAAGGCAGAGATGGCGAGATTAGAGAGGTACATGTTAGAGGAGAGGACAAGTGTGAATGGGTGCAAAGTGAAAATGCTGAGTCAATGCAACCAAGAACATGTCCTGCTGCTTTAATATTAGACGCAGACACAAAGTACTAAACACTTAATCCTACAAAAAGCCTAAAGGGGTGAGCAAAGGGTCCTTGGTATTTTTCCACTCCCACTGACACTGCTTATACACACACACACACACACACACACACCAAACCAACCTCCCAGCTCATCTTTATTATCTGGGGGTTACCAAATGCTCTGAAAAGTCCTGACCGTGCTCATTCAGGGACAGCAGACCAGCTGTCTGCAACAGCCCCTCTCTAGTCAACAATGACTATTAATTGTGAGAAGAATGAGCAAAATAACACTTCTGTCCCTGCAATGGCTGTCGGTACAGTCTTCTTAAATCCACAGCTGCTGAAGCCGTTCCACTTGGAAATTCAATTATGGGAATGATTCATCCTTTCATTATGATAACTGTCAGATTTTCTTGTGTCATACAATAAGGCAGAAGGGGAAAAACAAATGATTTGCCAGTCCACCCACCAACACTCTCCTTCTCCTCACCGCCCCCCTCCCCCCAAGCGGGTTTTCTCCATCTGAGTTCTTGTTGTCTTTCTCCGCATCCCTCTCTTCTTCCACCCCTCCCCTGCTATCGCTCACCCTGCTTCCTCTGCCTAAGTCTCCGTTCCTCTCCCCAACTGCCTGGGGGTGTGAGGTGAGATAGCGTTCCCTCTTTTTCTTATTTTCTCCATATCTACCCTCTCCTTTCCTCCATCCCACTCTGGCGATTCCTTTGCTTCCCCTCGTTCCACCCCCCTCCCTCTTCTCCCTCATGCTCTCTCTAGATAATTAAGATCTCTGATTTTACGGTTTTCTCTTTCATAATAGGCACTGCAGACACTATAAGCAAGCCGCTAAGTCTCCAGCACACACACACACACACACGTGCACACATGCAAGCGCGCACACACACACACACACACACACACACACACACACACACACACACACACATTAAGATGAATGCATGCACCAAACAGCTAAATCTCCAGCTGGGATGAATGTCCTCTCTCTCATTCTCTTTTATACTCTCTCCTGCACACACACACACACACACACACACACACACACACACACACACACACACACACACACACACACACACAGCGAGTCAGGATATTTATGTATTTTTGCTTTTGTGTATTTCTCAGTGGTGCCAGCATGCGAGGTGACTTACAGCAGGGTGCAGAATGAAAGCGAGCGTAGGGGGGCTAGAAGCCGTGTTTTCTGCACAGCTCAGACTAGTCTGGCTCTGCTCGGGCCTCTCGCTGCTCATGCTCCCTGCAGACTGACACCCAACTGCTACAGGGACTCATGTACTACACCAACAGAGCACGTACAACAGCCAGACACACAGCCCTCGTAGATTAAACACGGTAATAGTATTTCGTACCTCTTCCTCCCTGACTGTATCTGTCTCACTCCACCCTCTACTACCACATTATAGCTACTTGCTTTCTTTCACTCTCCTGCAGTGGTGGAAGAGGAAAAATCACTAATGTCACAATTTAAAAATGCTGTTATTCTCCGTATTCAAAAGTTCACATGCAAAATGGACCCTTTCAAGCAACTTTAATCAGGTGATCTCACTGAAATCAAGATCTTTTTTTAAGAGAACATGAAACATTAATGGTCAGGTAACCACTCAACCTCCAAACAAGAACAACGCATCTAAAGTACTGTTTTAACTAAAAATCAAATGACAAATAGAGCCATGAAAAGACATTGGATAGTAAAGCTTTAAAAAGCACGCATTTTATGCAAAGGGTGCGTCTAGGTTAGTACATACTGTACATATGAGATATCTAAGTTTAAGTAGTTACTGGATCATGTAATGTTGTTACAAGATTTTAAAAAATTAAGTTGTAGAGAGAGAATATGTGTATATGTGAGGTGGTTTGGAAGCTTTAGCAGCGGAGTTTTAGAGATGAATATTGTGATATTATTATTCCTTCTTGTCAGTAAGGAAGTCCATCCAAATTATGATACAGAGAGCAGCGATGAGTTGGAAATTTGTCATTGGTGATAAAAAGCAACACAATGTGAGAAACAGTTTAACTGCACTGACAGTACAGAATGTCCCCAATATATTTTATTATACTTATTTTGGAGTACATTTAATGATGAATTATAGTAATATACAGTATAAGCAGCGTTTTAATGCTGCAGCTAGGTGAGGTGGAACTATTTTTACTTAATGTACTACAATATTTCCCTTTCAAATGTATTGAAAGTAAAAAGTAACATAACATTAACAAGACTCAAGTATAGAACAAGTACCTCAAAATTATATTGTAGAAAGTACAGCACTTGAGTAAATGTACTTTACTCTCCACCACTGCTCTTCTGTCTTTCTGTCTCTATCCTGCTCTGCGTCTCTTTCTGCAGAAAGAAACACTTTCCAATCTCTTCTCTCTGTATTCAATTTTGTTCTTTTATTCCCCATCGTCCCCAGCCCATTCCCTTTGCTTCTTTTTTTCTATCACTCTCCTTACTTCTATCACAGCTTTCCATCTCATTCCTCCCTCCCCTCTCTTCTTCTCCTTGGAGTTTAGATGCTGTAATCTTCCCTGTCTAATCCTGTCAATAGCTCTCAATAACAATGAAATAGCACCGGTTCCATCCCATCATTGATGAAGGCATAGCCTCTGTTAGGATCTTATTCGTCATCATGGCAATCTGCTTCTTGGTAATAGCCAATCAGATGGCTCCTGTGAAATGCAGTGCTCCCATGATAGGTTCCCCATTGTTTTGATTGACTGCACCTGAGGGCCTGCCACTTCAGCTGGGCTCGATCAATACACCATCACACTCACACAAGGAGAGCGCATGCCCATACATGTTCTGGAATAAACACACAGGTCTGTACACCTCACACACATTTTGGTGAAGAGTAAATTGACAAAGAGACCACTGGTGTGGGAAGCAAACCTAATACAGTAGGAATAGTCAGCAGCACACTGCTGTCACACAGCTGTATGCCGTAGTGATCTCACTGTATCAAATGACTCGTTTTACATGTACACCATTATACACATGCACACAAATATGCAGCGTAGAACTATTTACTTTTTGATGCAGTGATTATTTATTGGCATATTTAATGTGACATAAAACAAGAATGATTTATTGAAAACAATGGGTGGGGGTAAAAAAACGTCTCCCACTGTGTGCCTGTTAGTTTATGTTGGTTCACACATACGATGGCCTCGTATAAGCCCTGCTTCGATTCACTTTGAGCTGCGGTGACTATAATGAGAGCAACACAGCCATCTGCACAGTATGGCGCATGCTATTGGTATTACAAACATGTTTGCACACAAGCCTGCCCACCCTTTGACACAACAAATCTGAGAATGAAAGATGCGTAAAGCTTGGCAGAAAGAAAAGGTCAGTAATTGTATAGAGACTAAGAAACAAAAGGAGAAAAGGGGTAGTATAGTTTGGTTTATGAGACACAAAGAGGGATGCAAAAGTTTTAAGTGCTTTAAACATCAAAGCTGAACAGGTGTTCGAAAGGTGAACGTGGGAAAAAAAAAGATTAAATGAAGATCCCAAATTGAACAGGCTGGAGAAAAAAAGGATGGGGGTGTGAGGAATGTTCTTTCAACACACATCTACATCATCTGCCTCTTTGATGTACACATAGTGTATGCACAAACTCACAATGCCAACTCATTAACATCATCTCATGCACTTGGGTCAAAGGTCAGCCTTCCACCACTCCAGCGCCCCCGTTTACAGCATAAAGGGTCAATAGAGGACCGTGAGCCGACTCTTTCAGCTGTTTGTCAGATCTGTCTAAAGCTCAGACTGGTGAACTAGGTGTTTGAAACATTCTCAGGTCAACAACACCGGCCGCCATCACCAACCTCACCCTTCCCCTTCCCTCATCCTCTCCGCGTGTCTGTCATTCGACACTCCTTCTCCTTTCCCCTGTCTTCATCCCTCCCTTCTCCAGCTTTGTCATGTTGTCAGTCAGAGCAAGGCTTTGTCACTCCTGGAGAGGGTTGCTGAGTTCTCTTTGTGTGCATTTGTCCTGTGTTTGTGTCTGTGTAGAAGTGGGGGTTGAGGGTTAGGTTATGAAAAATTTCTAAGTGGGACCAGGCGTGTGTGGGTGTATAGTATATGGTTTGTGTGTGTATTCAAGGCTGCTGTCTTTGTACTTGTGAGTCTCTCCCTCTGTGTGTATGTGTTCAGTAAGTGTTTCTAGTAAGCGACCGTGCATCAGTTCCTTTAAATGTATGCGTGTGTACGTACAGTGTAGATGTGTATGAGTGAATGTGCGGTGACATGTGTGGCAGTTGTTGCGCGTGTGTTGTCTCTAAACCCGTGGAGAGCTCTTCAAGGCTGAGTCCTGTCACTTCTAAACAGCAGACTTTCCACAGGAGACATGAATAGAGATGTGCGTACTGTATTTTATTAGACAAGGAGTATGCATGGGACTGCGCTTCCTCTGTGATATGAACATCTTCATGAAAGTCTATTGTATGTGCTGTCAAATTGCAGGTGCTTCCGTTACATGGAAATGACAGAGCAAACTGAAGATATAGCTGCAGGATGACAATTTAAAGAGAGACATCTTGTGCCTGGAGAATGATTGTGTCCAGTAATATGCAGCATGTCATCCGCTCCTGCAGGTGGTGGTACAGGCAGCCAGCAGACCATTCTCCATGAGGAGCGGTAGAAGATGCCGGCTCTGCCAGCACTGCTGCTGTCAATACACTTCCTCGGCTTCCTGCTAATCACCATGCCGCCACGTTCCCTCAGTCAGGCCCCCTTGCTCTCCTCTGTCCGCATGGGTGAGTGGCTAGCCGTCTCTCCATCCCTAAAACACCTGGACCATAAAGTTTCTTAAAATACTTTTCGTGGTTTATTTTTAGTCTGCTTTGGTGTCTCAAAGTGGGTTTTGCCACTTTGGTCAGCACAATACGAGAGACAGCAAATTATATAGAAGCCAAATTTGTCTAAAAACTAGGGTTGGGTAAAGTTTAAAATTTTATGCTACCAGTACCAAAACCAGTACCCTTAAAGTGATACCAATACCAATAGAATACTTTATTCAATACCTTGCATAAAATGCCACCTGTTGATGCCATAGTAGTTGATTGGTAGCCTATTATTATTTTTATTGTTGTTATGGACAAGCAAGGTTATCTTTTTTCTTTTTTTTTGTTTCGAACAACTGTTACATAAAAGTATTGGGAAATTGTATCAGATTGCTCCTCATCCTAATTAGTTCATCCTCAAGGGTAGTATCATAAGCGGAAAAAGACTACAGCTTGCGAATTGTTTTATATTTGAATGAGAGAGGAGGAGTGAAATAGTTTAGTGACCAAATAAGTTGTGGGAAACAAATTTAAAGTTTTGTTAACTTTCAATCAATAAATTGAATTGAAAGATCTCCGCAAGTGCTTTTTCCTTTATTGGTGAGTTGCATGAGTGGTGAACCTCCAAAACTTACAGTCACAAGTATGAGTAAGGAGTCTGTTTAACCAAGTCACTAAACTATACCAAAGACTAAAGAAGCAAACAGAGGAAAAGAGAATCTGCATGTCCAACTGAAAGAAACACAGACTACATCTGAAGATGATGTGAATAGCAAATAAAAATGTACAGAGAAGTGTTAAATGACACCAGAAGATGAAACCAATGGAAATCCAAGCTTGTAGTTAAAAACTTGCAACAGTGACGAACATGTCTGAGACCGCAGCCAAAGGTGAGTGGCTATTAAAATCACGCATGGACTCAGTGGGCGCAGGCCTTTTTTTAATACAGTTTAAGGAAAAAAAGGCATGCTCTTTCTTTGGTGTGTTGCTTGTGTGTTTGGCTGCAAGCAAAACAAAGAGTCATTTTTTGCTGTGATCTGGTTACAAAAATTATCTATTGAAGTACTGGTTTGACTGGAGACGTTGCGATTCTGCTGGGCTGTTTTGGTCAATACCATAAAGGTATCGAGTAGCGATACGCATCCCTAGTCCAAACTGTTTAAAGTTTAACACAGTTAAAATATTGGCAGATGCAATCTTAGCAGAATTATAGATCATTCTTTTTGAATTACTGTAAGTATGTCGGTGTTAGAATAAGATTATCTAAAAAAGGCTTCATCTGGTGCTGAAAGAGCTGTCTGACACCTGCGATGATGCTTTTTTTTTGGAGTAATTCTACTGTTTGATCTTTTCAATATTACTGGATGTTTTGGATTTAGGTGTAAGTATCAAATACTTGAAATGGACATTTTCTGTAAGCATGTAAGCAGAGACCAAAACAGCTCATGTACACAGAGGTTTGACAAAATAATTGACAGATCATAGACTAAAGGACTGGAGCTTTGAAGCAACTTTATCACAACTATAAACACCACAACAAAACTGGGAAACATAGTGCCTAATGCCAATTAGCAGCATTTGTCAGCCACTGGATGAAAAGGGTCTGACAATCAATATTTTATTGTACAAACTGCAGTCACAAGCTGAACCAATCATATGTGACCCGCCTTTGTATAAATGTTTGCACTAGTGATTTAGTTTCTTGAAGTTAAATTCTCAGTCATGCTCATTCTCAGTAAGAATGCGCCCATCTTTAAAGGACTATTTTGAAATTTTGGGCAATACCTTTTTTAGCAAGAGTTAGATCAGATGCCATTCTAATTTCTGTCTGTTCAATATTAAGCTAAGAGTCAAGAGATGGTTAGCTTAGCATAGCATAAAAATTTGAATTGGGGGAAACAGCTAGTTGGTAGACTGGAATTGATTATCTCATCTCTGCAAGAATATATAATATATAATATATTCCCCATAATGTCAAACTTTTCCTTTAAAGCCCCCTCCAGCCAGTTTTGGTTAATGTTCTTTCTCAAACAGAGAATGGGGGTGTGGTTGATAGTCGAATGTAATCAATTACCATGACAACCAAAAACTGCCTGGCTGGAGTGTTCACTAACGATATGCTTTGTTAACATCACTACACTGTAAAGTTTAGTACACTTTACTGTCTGGCAGGAGTAGCTATTACTTACCCATGATATAAACTAATGTGGCCTATCAGCTGTTATCAATCATACAGTCGATGGTCCTTTTACGCACTGCACAGGATAACTCTCACTACGTTTTATGGTGCGCTTACATTACCACGGGGTTGTGGGGAGGGAGAGGGGGCCTCCGCCAATGCATTGGTAAAACGGCCGTCAGTAAAATGCATGTTGCAGACTCTATATAAGACGGTGGAAGGTGAAAGTGCGACGCGTTTTCTGTCATCTATCCTCCAACACCGCACGCACAGATGCCATAATGAACATACTGTAAGTTCTAAGTAAATGACATGATAAATTTGTTAGCTAGCTCACAACGATGTTTATCGGTTTGATGCGCTGACGGCGTGACAGTTTTTTAACGAGGCATGACAGTGCGCCTGCGCAAGCCTGGAGAATGACGTATGACTTATTGAATTACTATAGTCATACGTTACCACCCTGTTTTAACAACTAAGCAATTTTTGCAACATTGAGCACAAAATTAAGCTATTTGTCAAAAAATATGAACTATGTGGGTAATCAACATTGCAAGGAAATGACTCAGAAAAATATGAAATATCATAGAAATGTCAAAATACACTGGAGGGTGGCTTTAACTTCTGATATTGTTTGGATTTCAAATTACTTACTAATTTGAACAAAGACAAATCCCTTAATTCCTTCAACAATCTGTGGTTGTGATCCCCGTGTCAACCCCACTCTTCTTCCCAATACACATTCCCTCCCACACATGAGCACGGACAACATTGTCCTCACTGTCCATCATCTTCATACCCATGTCCTTCTCTCTGCTTCACCTATCTCTCTTTCCCTCTCTGCTTCTATAGCGGCAATCCTGGATGACCAGTCTGTGTGTGGGCGTGGGGAGCGGCTGGCGCTGGCCCTGGCCAGGGAGAACATCAACAGCATAATGGAGGGTCCGTCCCGAGCCCGAGTGGAGGTGGACATATATGAGCTGCAAAAAGACTCCCAGTATGACACTACTGACACCAGTGAGTGGAGCCGATGCACACCAAGGAAGACCAGTATAGCAGATTGACAAACAGCAATAAAACCTGTATCCAATACAGTCCGATAGGCCATAGAGTTTCTAAACAGCACAGGCAAAATGTGACCACTAAATATACCAGTAGATATTATTATTAATGTGGAAAATTAATATTAATAGTAACCAGTACAGAGTAGAAAAGAACAGTAGTCTACTAAATACTGCAGGTTTCATTTTATTCCAAAAGACTTAAAAAGGGTGCTTTTATTTTTCAAAAACCTCAAATGATGACAACCCTACTGCTTTCATGTGATAAGGAACCAGTAAGGGCTTGTGCTGATTAATTTACATCTCGTTGGAGACCAGTAATGGGCCAGTAAGTCTGTCTCATTAAAAACAGAGGGCCGGTGCCCTCCAGTAACAGCTGGCACTGTCGACTGTGCAGGCCACGACAAAAACAAATCATCAAATACTAATACAGATCAGCGGTGCAGGCCAACAGAAAGCTACACCAAACTACAGAAAATCCATGAAATTTATATTGATATACAGAGTTAAAACAGAATGTTTGGTGTCTGTAAAGACAGAAGAAGTGCTGAATCCAGTCACAGAGGAGACAGAGACTCCCTGCTCCTATTCGAATAGGTCATTGACCCTGCCACAAGCTACTGGCAAAATGTCTATGTGTGCTTGAGAAGGGTTGTGTACATATGTGCATGCTTGAGTTATGTGTGTGTGTGTGTGTGTGTGTGTATGTATGTGTGTGTGTGTGTGTGTGTGTGTGTGTGTGTGTGTCCTTGACCGATGGGCAGGAGACTCTGACAGGCTTGTTTGCTTGCAGCGTTTTTTGGTCTCTGGATCAGAGAGCTCATCATCTTACAGCTACGGCTGTCTGAGGCACGCTTGCACGCACCCAATTGCACACAAACAATTGCACATACCCGCTCACACAGGCATTTACACATGCACGCACACACATCTCTCTCTCAGATTGTCACAGTGTGAGCATGTATGCTCGGGCACACATATACACGCAAACACACACACACACACACACACACAACACACAGGCATGGCAAGGACTGAGGAGGACTAATTGGGATGATTTAAAATACCAACCAAATATACCAGCAAGAAAAGTGCTTTATGACTATCTGAATAACACAGTTAAGTCACCAGCCTCATTTCTGCTGTTTCTGTGAAAGAAAACATTGTCAATAAAATACTACACTACACACTGCAAATCCAAAAGATACTGCACAAAGAAAGTATTTCTGTATGCTAAAGGATGTAGCCCCTGAGAACTTAACATGGTCAAACTTCTATATGTTATAGATACTGGTCAATTGTGGATGAAAGGAATTGTTTAACGTTTTGGGAAATACACTCTTTTACTTTCTAGCTGAGAATTAGATGAGAAGATTGATACCATGGTTATAATGGATAGTTAGCTTAGCTACAAATCAAATCAACTTTTATTGTCACATATACAATTATACCTAGTACAAAGTGTATGCGAAATTTGTTCTCTGCATTTAACCCATCTTAATTAGGAGCAGTGGGTAGCGACTGTGCAGTGCCCAGGGACCAACGGCAGACGGATTTTTTAGTTGGATACTTTCAAAAACTAGCCATCTCTTGTTAGTTTCTCCAACATTACCTACCCTGGATTTAAGCATCTCCTGGTTTCTTTTAATGTCTCGTCAATGTCTCAAGTACAAGACAGACAATGAACATAACCTGCTACTCAACAGTAGACGTTTCGTGCAAATATGTGCAATGAAGCAATCTTCTGGCACTCACACGTAAAGGAGCAGGAGTGGTAAAAAAAAAAAATTAATAGTTACATGGCTTGTTCATGAGACATTTAAAAATAATTTTAACATTTTTACAGATTTTACATTACAAGGAGAGAGAGGAGTATGGCAAGCTCCAAAGGTCACTGGCTGGAATTGAACCAAAGACCAACAAAAACAATGAACCAAAAACAGAATATTAAGGTAACCATGGTAACTGCCTTAAATAAAAAAACGTAATATACATAAAATGTTAACATAAATGTATCACACAATGTATTTTTTTAAAGTCCTGGATATATGACTATAGTGGATACATTTGTTGTCACGTGGGTGTTCTGAATAGTGAAATCTATGCTTGAGACTGTGTACTGTATCAGAGATGGCGTTTCCTTGAGCATTTTGTTAATTGAAGGCGACCACCAATCTGTTAGTATTATGCCAGAGATATCATTATAGCAAAATGTCTTATAAATCATTCAAATCATTAAAAGTGACTGTTTAAACAGTGAATAATAACAGCAGGCAACCTCTGGCTTGCCCTGCTGTAATCCTTGGAATATTTATCTCACGATAAATCAGGTCATTATGAGACAGATTGTAAAATAGAATCAGTGATTAAACTGGAATTATAATGCATCCTGTGAGTTTTACACTTTCCCCTGACTGCATCGCCTACTTTATGCCAACTCTGCGCTGCCATCAAACACGAAGCAGAGGAAAGGTGTGTGGCTGCATATTCAGTGTTTATTTTCCTTTTTTTCCTTTCAGTGTGTCAGATTCTACCCAAAGGCGTCGTCTCTGTGATAGGTCCCGCCTCCAGCCCCGCCTCCGGCTCTACTGTCAGTCATATATGTGGAGAGAAGGAGGTGAGTGTGGAAGATAAACACAACCACAAGCACACACAAAAATATGTGCAAATCTGTGCGTCATGTGCGTACAAACATCACATACCACTTTCTCTCCTACCCACATACATGTCATGACGAATGTATCTAGGGAATTAGCTTTCCTTGCCCATTGAATTTCTTCTTTTAGAATTAACCATCATGCACTTCTTCCAGCTGTTGTCTCCTTTCCTCCCATAGCCTTTTATCCTTACGTCGCTCTATTCTCTGCCATCTTTCTTATCTCTCTTTTCATCCTGTAGCCTCTCTAATGGATCTTTTTCACGTTTTTTCCCCGTTGAGTGTGTTTGGAGGGGAGTTAATCATGACACATTTGCTTATCCTGTTTCTCTCTCCTCCCCTCTCCTCTCTCCTTCTGTCAGATCCCTCATGTAAAGATTGGTCCGGAGGAAACTCCCCGCTTGCCGTACCTGCGCTTTGCCTCTGTCACTCTGTACCCTAGCAACGAGGACCTGAGCCTGGCCATAGGAGCCATTTTGCGCTCGTTCAGTTACCCCTCAGCCAGCCTGGTGTGCGCCAAGGCTGAGTGTGAGTACACATGCAGCCTGTCTTATGGTTATACAGTACATTATGTGTGACTGCGTGACTGTGTTTGTGTTTAGGTGGGTGTAAATGCACCGGTTGTGTTCTTGCAAGCTTATTCACGATGTATATGTGTGTGATTCCGTGTGTGCATGCAAATCTCTCTGTGGGAGTGTTGGCACATTCACACTCTTTAGGCGGATATGACTGTTTTGCACTGTTAGGCACTCATTTTGACAGTCTGGTCAAGTTCTGTCTGTTGTCAGAGTTCAGAACATGGCTCATGCTGCAGCCTTCCTATGTATTACTCATGCTCTTGCACACTCTTATCCACCTCAGAGGGTTGTTAGGCCAAACAAATTTAATAAATATTCAAGTTTGAAATGCTTTCCAGTATTGAAAGAACTTTGATTTAACTTGCCAGGAGCTTTAACATCACAGGGGATTCGGGGCTTAGTCACTAGCCCTCTTTATTTTCATTTTGAAAGAGTGCGTTATTGATTTATTATGCACTGAACTATCATGAGTTGCAGGAATTAAGGGGCTTGGTCGGATTGTGGCTGTAGTGTTCAAACAAAGCTTTGTGAAGACAGAATATACTCTGTGCTGTAGGAGGTGTCAAAATCCTAACTCTTCCTGACTTTCTGTCCATTCCTGAGTGCAACTGAGCTGGGATGAGTTGTTGTGCAGCTGTTGACTGCTCACGCCAGCCAAGCAGAACCCTGGAAGAACTGAAGGGCAATTCCATAAAGAATAAGTGGGACCGTTGAAGTCTCAAGGCAGCGTAAAAAGGGTAGATTTTGACAAACAAAAAGCTGTGACATTATGAAAAATGTATTCAATCATTGAGATGCTTTCATTATCTCCCCTGCAGTTAACCATCCTCCCTGCAGTTTCCTGAGAGTAAGCTGAATTTCTTGTGGACTTCATTGAACTGAAAGAGTTTTGAAATTGCATCAGACATCTTTTTCCAGTTTTGATCATCAGTTGAATGGGTAGATAAGAGCCTTGTCTTTCACCGGTCTTTTCCTCTCATAGGAATTAGAGGCTACAGATAGCCTGATAGGTACCGTCTGGGCCAAAGGATGCAGCTTTTACTGGTATAGAGACTGAGGGGTGCATATGTGTAATATATTTGGCTTGAAGGTGATCTATACAAGGTTATCACACTCGCAGACTCTGACCCACTTGGCTGCGCTATCTATCGCCATGGAGCTGGTTGCCATGGCTGCAGAATAGGTGCTAACTGCCACTCAACAGGCTTGTTTCACACTCCGAACAGTTGTGTGGGTGTGTGTGGCATAGTGTGTGTGTTTGATATACTTTTTTCCTGTGTGCTTGGTTCACTTTTTTAGTACATGTTTGTGTGTTTGAGTGCCGGTTTATGCATACATGCGTGTTGCCCCTGAGTGTACTGTATGTCCATACATGTGTGAGTGGGGTACTAATATGATTGTGTGTCTGTGTGTGCAGCTCTGTTTTGGTGCTGCAGTGGTTCAACATCAGACAATGTTTACCACCAGCCCACTTGTTTTATTCATCTTGTTTACCCCAGTGTAGAGTGGTGTGTTCAAGAGAAATAGACCTTCTCTCTTTTTTGCCAGTGAGGCGAGTAATGTGTAAAGTCTCACATTTCATTGACACCCACCATGCACACATCCTAATTAAGTAACGTATTTAGAAACGGTTCATTTTGGCAACAGCATGTTAATGCTGTTAATCAAATTTTTTCCTCTTTAGCCCGTGCAAGTAGCAGTCCATAGATATTCTGTTAAATGCGAGTGAGTCAGAGATTTTAGGTCATTTCCGACGTATCCTTCTCTCGCTATGCCTGGGTCACTGAGCCCAATTCCATTATGCAGTTTTCATGAGATGGATGAGGTTAAGGACAGCGAGAGGGAGAGACGGTGCACAAGGAGGAGGAGATGGTGGCGGCGGTAAGAGCGAGATGGATAAAGACAGAGAGAGGTAACTAGAGCACAGGGCTAAGACGAACGAGATAGGTTAGAGCTTATGTTTGAGAGAGAGAGAATATGTGAAAGGTGGAGTGTGAGAGAGGGGAGAAGAGGAGGCTGTAAAGTGCATTGATTTTTCCCCCTCCTTCCTCAAACTAATTAAAGTTTTAGCCTGGTTCAGTGATTACCCCACTGCTTACAGAGGCTTTCTCCTGCTGAAGGGCCCTGTGCACTACCTCTCCCTTCCTCCTCTTCTCTCTCTCCCCTTCCCCTCTGTCCCCCAGATGCCTGCCCCACCACTTATTTACATAGCTAGGGGTGCTTTACTATAGAATTACAATTAGGAAGCAGCAGGGTAGACTTTCTAGTAAAGGCTCATTCCATGCACGATGTCAAGTGAGTCTTGACTGCCATTGGTTATACTCATTTTCAAGAGGAATTTGCTTGAAGTGGGTGAATTGTCTCAAGTACTGTATTTGATTCTTTCTGCTCCTGCAGTCCTGCTCCCCTTTCCTATCTTTTCTGTTTCTTCCTTACGTCTCCAGTTTTGTAATTTCATTTTAAGGTTTTCAGTTTTTTGAACACGTACTATTTTACTCACAGTACACACATCACTGAAAGAACTGAAAGACAATCATTGATGAATGAGACAACAGCCAAGCGAAGGCTTCAGTACCCTCTAAATTTATTATTCTATTAATAATAAAAATGTTTAGGAATTTGTGATGCTGATTGCCTGACAGCAGCTGACACCTGAAGGATGTCTGGAAATATTAGGACTTTATACAAGGATTTAGACTCACTCAGTTATGCCAACTGAGTTATATTTTGTCATGTTGCTGTAGCGCCACACATGGCTAAAATGTCATCAGATTTTGTCGTTTATATATGCACTTGTTGTGTTTGCATAGTGGATGTGGATAATGGTTTTGTGATATCAATGCTAGCATGGAAGCCCGTCATTGTCCAACTTTTTTGAGATCGTCCAAATATTTTATGTACCAGATTTGGTTTAGATTGGAAAAAATCTGCCTATTATGTGATATGTGAAATCTACGGACACAGTGGATAGCTAAAAAACCTTTAATACATATGGTCTTAACACATTGATTTCACATCGTGTATCTGTACTTTTGCTTTCGTCAGTGTCTCTGTAGCAGGAGTGATGAAAAAAAAATCAAGATAGTGGAAAATCTGTCTAGATCAATAGTTCTCAAAGTTTTTCTGTCATGCCCTACTTTAAAAGACAAAAAAAGTTCAATCCCCCTGACTCCAGCAAAAGAGGATTTCATTTTTATAAATCAATGACAATACAAGTGATTGAAATAAAACACATGATTCAGGTTAGCAAAACAGTCAAAATAGCCAAAAAGACCAAAAAGGTTGTGATAGTTGCATCAGAATCCTTTTTTTTTATGCCACCACATGAATCACATTCAACTTTATGTCTGCATGAAGCGACTGTAGATTGTGCACCCCCTGCAGTGGCACTATGCCCCCCCAGTTTGAGAACCACTGGTCTGGATTCTTTAACATGAATCAGATTACATGTAATCTGATTCATGTTAAAGAATACGGAATATGTTTTTTGCTTCTGTAAAATGTAAAGTTATTTATAAATGATCATATGGTGGTGCTATCTCCAGTGCAAACTGATCAGTTGTTCCCTGCCCATAGCCTAACTCTGCTTCAACAAAATCTGTCCAGTTCATTTGGAGATATACTACTAAATAACAGAGAAACAAACAAACACATGGCACTGAATACAAAACCTTCGCAAAGGAGTATCAGTATCACTATCAGTATCAGTAGACACAGGCATTGATATGCGGCTCGGCTCTGCTTTGGCTCTGCCTCAGGCCTGCTGAGATTGGAGGAACTGGTCCGCCGCTTTCTCATCTCTCGGGAGACGCTGTCAATCAGGATGCTGGATGACAACCTGGACCCTACGCCGCTGCTGAAGGAGATCCGTGACGACAAAGTGGCCACCATCATCATTGATGCCAATGCTTCTGTCTCCTATCTCATCCTCAAGAAGGTCAGTTCTCAAACATCAATACATTCTTTAGGTCCGCCCATACGTGTAGGATATGAAGTTACTCTTACTTGTACAGTACGCACAGTTGTGCTTGTACAGTACATGCAAATCCCCTGGGGTACACCACTCGGATTTTGTTGTTTAGTGTTTTAAAATTCAGGTTACAGTCATGAAGGGCATTCAGAGCTTACCATCTGGAAAATAATAAAACAACTCTCTCACAGCCCCACAGGCTACACATTTGTGGTCGTAACAGAATTAACTTATATTTTTACCTCCTCTGCCCTCCAGAGCTGCATAGGGAACAATAGTTATGCATGTCTGCTAGCAGTAATCACTTAAGAAAGTATTTGACAAAAGGACATCTTTTGCTGGGTTGAGATGTTACACAGGCTTGTTCTGATTCATGTTACGGCCTGTAGTGCCGATAGCCAGCGTGGTGAGTCACAGTTTGAATGCGTATGAGATGTTTTCACTGGGCACATTGGAGCGGCTGTCCGCCCTCAGCGAAATGTCCTAGTGTTAGTCTGATGATGTAAAACTGTGATTAACGTATGCTTCCTCTCCGTCCTCCTCTTCTCCCCATATTCTCTCCTACTTTGTCCCCCAACTGTCTTCTTCGCTCTTTGCCTCCCAATGACTCTCCTCCTTTGCCCTCTCTCTCTCTCTCCCTCCATCATTCTTTCTACGTCTACCCTTACTCTCTCATTCCACATTCTGTATCCCACCTGCCTCTTCTTTATTTTTTCCTCTCAATCTCTCTTTCTCTTTGTCCTACAGGCGTCAGAGCTGGGGATGACATCAGCATTTTACAAGTACATCCTCACCACCATGGTAAGAGCTCACCAGTTCTGCCCCTTCCTCCTTCCTTCTGTCTCCTGTTCCTCAGTTTTCGCTCGTTCCTCTCTCCTGCTCCTCCTCTTCTGTCCCTTTATGTGCGAGCAAAGGTGCTAAGGCGGAGAAAGTATTAAATAAAGGGAGAAGAGAGAGGTGACAGAAAGAGGAAAAAAAAGAGAGAGGGGATGAAGGATGGGGAGAGGGAAAGAGAGAGAGACATCTGAGAAATGAACATACAGTGCAAGGATGTGGAAGTGCAGAGGAGGATGGAAGAAAAAGGGGTCGTAGGTGAAGGTGATGACAGACGTGATGCGCCCTTTTCCTTCTACCACCCGGCACCTTCTCTGCGCTTCCGGTGTTTTCATCTGCCTCTTTGATATACTCCCCTCCCCTTCTACCATTTGAATTAATGTGTCACTTTGTACTCTACACCCCATTTATTTCTCCCCTCTCCCTCCTCTGTACATGTTGTGCTCTTGCTCCTTATATGCCATGACTTGTGTGTATATTTCTGTGAAAAGCTACTGGAGTAATTTCCATCAACCTCTCTTTCCCCTGTATTACTGTTTTCCCCTTTTCCTAGCTATCGACATACTTTTTCTCTCTCCGTCAGAGATGTTGTCACTCCCCGTAGCCTCTCTTTTCCTTTATCACACTCTACTTTTCACAGTGTTTTTCAAGGTTGGATAAACTGTCAACATTGTCACTCACCTGAATGTTTTGTCCTAGGACTTCCCACTACTGAGACTGGATGATATAGTGGATGAGCAGTCCAACATTGTGGGATTCTCCATGTTTAACACCACCCATCCCTTCTATTTGGAGTTCATCAGGAGCCTCAACCTTTCTTGGTGGGAGGGCTGTGACCTTACGTACCCCGGCCCCGCGGTCAGTCTTATTGACATTTGAGTACTCATGCATGCGCACATTCAGGAGTGATTTTCAAAGCTTTGTTTATATACCATGTAACATTCCAAGCAGCTTTCTTCCTCACACTGATTCACGGAGCAGTTAAAGAGATTCAGCTAGTCTTTTGCTTGTATTTAATGGGTATTGATGTATCCATCTGTGTTTCCTCCCCACTGGGTTACTCATACCTCACATCTCTTCTCACTCTCCTTTTATTTTCCCTGCCTCCCTCCTCATTGCATCTTCTCCCTTGACTCGTCATCTTTCCATCCCTCCCCCTTTTGCCTTTCTCCCCCTCTATATCTCTTCTGTTTCCTCCCCCCCTTCCACAGCTCTCGTCAGCGCTGATGTTTGATGCGGTACATGTGGTGGTGGGAGCGGTAAGGGAATTGAACCGCAGTCAGGAAATTGGAGTGAAGCCTCTCAGCTGCACCTCACCTCAGATCTGGCAACACGGGACCAGTCTTATGAACTACCTGCGCATGGTAAACGCTGATAAATACAATATGTAATCACCTGCTGATATGCATTCTCATGGACATGTACATACATCATGAGAAACATAGTAAGAGATGAGCTTGAAGTTATAGTTTAATTTCATTTTTAATGTTACTGTTAATTTAAATATTCACATCCATTGTAGCATCACTTCTGTATATAGGCTCCATGTGTTATCATCATAGTCAAGATGTTTCTGTTTTACATTACCACAATATGTTGGGCTGCCACTCACAATTATTTTCATTTTTGATATTTAGTTTTTGATGAATCTACAAGTCATTTAGTCAATAAAATGTCAGAAATCATATAAGGTGACATCTTCAACCAATGACTCAATTAATCTCAACAAAAAATTAATTGCTGATGAACTATTATAATCGATGATAATAGATAAATTGTTTAAGTAATTTTTTCAAGCAAAAATGCCAAACATTTGCTGGTTCCAGGCTCTAAAATGTGAGGATTTTCCACTTTTCTTTATTGTATGTCATAGAAAACTGAATCGTGTTTTGGATTGTTGGTCAGATAAAACAAAACATTTAAAAAACGGAATTTTTTTTTAGACAAAACAATTAGTCAACAATGAATTATTATTAGATAATTATTGCTGCCCTACTTCACATGGCCTGTCTTGTTGGACCAATAGCCCAAACCTCTACATTTTCAATTTATAATTATTGTAGTTGATTCATTTTTCCTCGATTGACTTATTGATGAATGACAACATTACAACTGCATTCTCTATCATCCACATCTCATGTCGCATGTAACCTCTGTCTCTTGTTACCGTTTTTCATCCCCCATCTCTGGTCGTCTGTGTGTCTCTCTCATCGACGACCTGTTGTCAAGGCTGCCTGAGTCCCATCTCTCATTGCCTTCACCCCACTGGCCCGACATCTCCTTTGTTAGTCAAGATCATGGTGTGCTCCATCTTCAGCACCGTGCCATCAATCATAGATCTCGCTAACTGTGCCAGCACCTGGCTTGTGGAAGGGCAGAGCTGAGCTGTGAGGTGCAGTTCTGAGTCTTATTAGGGAGCTGTTGACTCTTTTTGCTGCTTTATCTGAGCCTCTCGCTCAGTTTCTTTCTCCTAAGTTGATCCAGAACTGATCATCATTGTCTGATCCAGCCTCGGACACTTCCTCTATCTCTTTAGCTCTTTTTTTCTTTTTGTCTTGCACCTATTCTTTCCTCCTAATCACTGTAGCTAGTACCTGTTAGTCTTATTATGATGGATAGTGAGAAGTTGTTTGCTTTGGTTTTATATAGAAGCTTGCCTGTGCTTATGCCTCCATCTCTCCTCATTGTTTTTTCCTAGTTTCCTCTCATTTTCTTAAATTTCCATCTCCTCTTTTCCCTTCCTCTCTCATACCTCCTCACCTCACTCTCCCCGTCTGCCTGTCAGGTGGAGTACGATGGTCTGACGGGGCGCGTGGAGTTCAACAGTAAAGGTCAGAGGACCAACTATACCCTGCGGATCCTGGAGAAACACAAAGGAGGCCATAAAGAGGTCAGGAGTCACCTGTTATCATGCAGCAGCCAGATCCCATCGCCCATAGGCTTTGGGTTAGTTACAGGTCAACTGTCTGATTTCACAAGGTCACAGAAGGAGTTCAACACTGAGGTCAGCCTAATCACAGATAGTAGCTAAATATCTTTACTTCGTGAAGTTGGTTTGATGAGTTTCACCTGTAGTCTAACCTGCTGTCAGACGTGGCCATGTAATAGCTTCAAATATGTGTTCACATTTATTTTTATCTAAAGGCCACTGGAATAAATTCGCTGCTCAAAAAGTCTAGCAGTTGAATTTCAAATGGTTACAAAATTTTGCTGGTTGATAGTATCAAGTAGTAGGTGTCCAATGTAAGTTTTTTTTAGTCTTATGAATGTATGAATTTGATGTTTGGACTGTCTCTGTCCCAGATGTTTTTTTTGTTGTTCGTTTTGCCTCCGACCTGTTTTTATCTCAGCCACAGGTGGATGTTGACTTGATGTTTTCTGATCGAAAAACAACAAAACAAAATTATTTTATTAATGGTTAGTTTATTTTCTTCCCATGGCTACAAACAATAACATTCATTTGTTGGAATCAGTGTTTGTAATTGGCCTCAAGCTCAGTACAGAGCGGCTGTGCAGATAGATCTGCATCTTTGTTCATCCTATATATAATACCGTTTAATCCAAATAATATTAATCCGAGTTTATTTTTGTCTTTGTCTTGTATAGAAATGGATTTGCTTATGCTTAGTTTTGATCTGTATAGGTTTTTGTGTCTTTTGGACTTGGTCTTCACTTGAACTCAACTGGATTAGATCTTGCACTTGAAATAGATTAGACTAAAGTGGTCATGACTACAGTGTTGAAAAAGTTTTTGCGTGCTCCTTTTTAGTAATGCCCTGCAGTTTCTTCACATTGTTATTGTACACATTTACATCAAGGATCTCCTGTGTGTATGAATTATTGCAACCAAACTTAAAGAGGTGGTATTATGCTCATTTTCAGGTTCAAAATCTTAATTAGGGGTTGTACCAGAACAGGTTTACATGGTTTAATTTTCAAAAAACGCCATATTTTTCTCATACTGCACATTGCTGCAGCTGCTCTTTTAACCCTGTGTGTTGTATGCACCACTCTTGAGCTACAGAGTGATGCATCTTACTTGTACAAAATCTTTGTTGGGAGTTGCACATGCGCAGTTCCCAGGTAAGGACTACTAGCCAATCAGAAGCAGAGAAGGGCGGGTCATAAGAAACAAGGTAGTATGATCCAAATCAAAGTCGCTTCAGACTGCGACCGTAACAGATATGTATAAGTTACTCACAGTGCACAACCACACAACATCATTGTTCCACATCTTACCATTAGGACTAAACGTTGAACTGTTGCCGGTGTTCTGACGATCTATGCTGCCTTGCCGAAAAATGCTACCATAGTGCAAATCAATAGACTCGACTCTACTCGGCCCTGCTCCGTTTTCCATTGCAGATAGTACCCAGAGATAGTACGTAGCTTGTCTTCATAGCGACGCCACACACAACTGCCACGATGTAATTGTTCAATGTGACACACACACCAGCGATCCACACAGCTCTTAAAATATATACAGTCTACGGTTAAAACGTCTCAACATTCCTCAGAATGTAAAGTAAGATAAGTGGTATGAAAACCTTCCAGCTGTGTTTTCCTCTGCCGTTGTTGCTGCAGCGGTCTGTGTGACGGCGGGAGCAGAGGGCTCTGTGAGCGGGCGGCTGGCCGGCTTCACACGCTCCTCCCGCGGGTTGGCGCAGGCATCCCCCGCAGCCACTTGCGGAGCTCCTCAACATTTTTGTTCTGCCATCACTTCTTGTAAAACTGTAAATATTCGAAATCTACACAGCTGATTTCTCACCTCAAAACTTCTCAGAAATGGATTTAATGAAATTCTAAACTGTAAAATATAAAACTTTCTGTTGCTTGCCTCTGTCTGGCGCACGCAATAATGATGCAGTGAATATTCTCCCCTGACCAATCAGCAGTCTGTCGTGTTTTCAGGTTACATTTTAGTATCCTAAAATGATGCTTTATGACGCATTTTCATTGTGACGTTACAAGTAAAGGAAGTGAAGGGCTGGACTACAAACGAACTGTTTTCAAGCGGTTCATAGCAGAGCTTTCAGTGGGAGAGGGGAACTCCCTTTGGGCTGGACTTTGGGCTTTTTCACTTTGCAAACCTGTTCCATGCACAAAATATATATATAATAAATAAAGACAATAAAGGAGAGGGAAAAAGCCAAAAAGCATAATACCACCTCTTTAAATTACCACCTCTTTAAATTAAGTATTTAAAGTGACAGCGCCCACTGTGGCCACAAGAGACAGGATAATTGTAAAATGCTAAAACTTAGTGCAACAATAACACAAGTGACAGTATGCAAACTTCCTAAGTAAAGTAAACATAGTCTTGCTTCAAAGTTTTTGTTCTATACATTAATTAATTTTAATTAATTTTCCTGTTCCTTCCCTGTTAATGTGGGGCATTTTATCTTTTCAATGTACTAGTTATAAGCCACAACATATTTGTTAAGAGTAGTTAGACATTGTTGGGAACCAAAATAAAATGAAGGCAGACCCAGTCAACAAGGTGTGTTGGACCATTTCTCTGCATGTATCAGTGCAGACTCCTCCACTGAGCATTAGAAGGAAAGGTGCGGGAAGATCAAAAAGCATTTCACCTGCATTTCAAAGTCAGTGGAATGAAGCACAAGTACACACATCACTGCAGATCCAGACTGAGGGAATTACGTTGCGGCTCATTGACTGGAGAAAACACTTTCTCTTCACCTTCCCTTAATATGTCTTATGCTCTACTATAGGCCAACATTCTCTAATGTTAACACTCAATGCCACCTGACAACTATACTTAAATCTAGACTTAAACTCAGTGGGAGACCTAGCTTGTGATAATTAACACTTTAACTCAGCTCAGCTCTCTGCACAGCCACACCCACGCTGTAGGAAGGAAGTGGTGGTTCATAGAGAAAAGACCACTCTTAAATGTCAGGGCAGGATAAAGAGTGTCATAGAAAAACTGAGATTCTGTCTGAGGATTCATTACCTCTCCTCTGACCTATTGAAAGATGTACAGTAAAATCTCCCAAAGAAATGTCTCTGCAAGCTGCGTTTCCACCCCTGCTCACTGGTTAGGTCATAATCACACACTTATGTACCTAAGTGACTTTACTGTCTCCATAAAATGGAAAGATGTGAGCTGTGTTTATGCAATTAATAAAAAAGGTGTTTGTAAAGGAAAATACACATGACAAAGAAACTCCCGATCATGAACACTTTTCATTTACTTTCATCTTGTCCCAGCTCATTGTTCTGCTTGTAAACAGCAGTATTTTTTATTTTATTTTTTAATAACGTATGGTGCTGTAGCTACGTGCATGGCTCCAGTTGGGGCAATTAAACCAATGTGCATATACAGTATGTAACAGTATAGATACCAAAACAAAGCATAAAATATTCAACATGCAGAGGTACTAAAATAGACCAATAGTCATAATGCACTCACTGAATTTGCTATAGGTGGCGCGTAGCCGGCCACAAGAGTAAAACAACTCCATTTAGAGCTTAGCAGTACATCATTTATCCCACAAAAGCCATTGATTTGCTCTTGCTTTCTCTTCTCTGTTAGATCGGGATCTGGTACTCCAACAACACCTTGGCAATGAACTCCACCAGTCTGGATATTAATGTCTCAGAGACGCTGGCAAACAAGACACTCATTGTCACCACCATACTGGTAAGGTCACAGTTACTTTCTGGACCACCACGCTGGCGAGGTCAGAGTTTGGTTTGTGTTGCTGCGCAGGCTGTGGCTCCGTTCATGCTGTGTTGTTGTCTGATTCTGCTAATTTTGCTGTCACTATAGCTGTCATAGAAACTGAGAGAGCACTGAGAGAGACATGTTACTAAATTCAGACTGCCAAAATCCTGGCCAAAACATTAGAAGAAGTCTGCTTCTTGTTTCCATATGAATAATGTTGTATCGGAAAATCAATAAATCCTTTATATGATGCTGTTCCACCATCTTCAGGTTGCTCTTGGCATAAATGTTGATGTTGCATTATAGCTGTAGTTTAATTACATGTTATTGAATATTACATTAAACAGACAACAAAATAAAAAAGACAAACAATACCGTCTTTCAGGACAGCGGTTCTCAAACTTTTTCACGTCAAGAACCCTAAACCGACACAAATTTGATAAGATTTGGTGCCAGGACTGCCCATCTGATAGGATTTTGGTTTTATTACAGAAAGTGTATGAAGCCAGTGGCCAAAATAGTCATTGTCACCGTGTTATTTCTGAATGGATTCATAGTGAAAATAAATTATTCTCCATTTTGCTGGGGACCCCATGGAAACCCCTCAAGGACCCCTGGAGTCCCCAGAACCCACTTTGAGAACCATTGCTTTAGAACATACTGTAAACCAGCAAAAAATAGTTGAACGAAGGAATAGTCTCAAGTGTTTTATGTTATTATGGCTATTTTGCTGGTTTCTCCCAAGATGTACGGTACATAGGTTTACCATTGTTTATTTGGCGGGGGATTGCTTGCCGTATATGCTAATTTTGTGAAAGAATTCTTACTTTAGGTCAATATATTTAGTACACTCAGTGAGGAAGTGACTCTCTGTCTTAGTGGCTTGCAGATCACAATGAGAACACAGCCTGTCTCCTCTAGGTAGCCAGGTTTGGCTGGACTGTGGTCACTGAATCTGTCTGTTCTTTGCTTTCTCTCCCACTTCTGTAGCCATTTCACACAAGCCATTTTATGTAATTTAAAACAGTCCTCCAGCAGTTTGTATTGGACTTCCATAATGTAGGGGGACTCAAGAGACAGATGAAAAAGGAATGGTCTAAATGGATTCTGCAGAAGCCAACTTACCCTGGCTTTCAGTCCAAACCTCCTAAAAAGCTGCATCCTACAGTTCCCATGATAAAACTGTACATATTATTTTTGTTAGACCCTCCCTGCCTGAATGTCCCATGTCTTTAAAACTCAATGCCCCCAGTTTACAGGCTTTCCTGCACAACTGTTCTGACAGACTGAATAGTATTCCCCATGACAAATGAAAACATTTTGATTTTGACACAATTCTTTAGAGAGAGTTACATTTGAAAAAAAAGGGACACTTGCTCTCTAAAAGTTACCAGTGACACGCTAATAGCATCTTGTGCTGAAATAAAAGTTTGATATATTGGGAAATAATTTTGTCAAGGGATATCACACTCATGTCTGCACAGTAAATATGAAGCTACTGAAATATGAAGGCTGGACTGTACTGATTAAACAATCTATAATGTGTTATAATTAGAGAGATTTAGAGATGGTGGATTTTGTTAACATTCGATAGAGCCAGACTAGCTTTTTCATCCTGTTTACAGTCTTTGTTCAAGCTAAGCTAATCATCTCCTGGTTGTAGCTTCATATTTAACAAACAGATCTGACAATGGCATTGCTCTTCTCATCACTCTCTGCCAGAAAGCAAATATGCATAATTCCCTAAAAAGTCGAACTGTTGCTTTAATCTATCATTGACATAACTGCGTAATTCCTCCTCAAACAGGATATTGAAACCCCTCATGTTTTCCCCATGTTCAGGAGAACCCATATGTGATGCGCAAAGACAACTACCAGGACTTTCAGGGTAACGACCAATATGAGGGTTTCTGTGTCGACATGCTGAGGGAGTTGGCAGACATCTTGAAATTCTCCTTCAAGATCAAACTGGTGGATGATGGGCTGTATGGTGCTCCAGAGCCCAACGGCTCTTGGACTGGCATGGTTGGAGAGCTAATCAACAGGGTGAGTACTCCCCCCCCCCCCCCCCCCTCTCTCTCTGTCTCATGCATACACCAGAAACATGCTGAAATGTTTTAACCAGTGTCTCTACAAACAGAAACTTACACTGAACACACACGCATACACACACACCCACCCACCCACACACCACATGCTGTAGCCCCAAACCACAACTCTGCTGTAACTTCCTATGTCTCAAATTGCCCTCAGAGGGGAGTAAGACTCTTATCTAGGACAAAAGCTGACTTGATAATTCCCCAAAAGAGAGCGGTAGCATTGCCTAAAATTGTCTGCACCATCCTTCCTCACAGTAACCCTCCTCCATCCCAGCCTGTCCCCCCTCTTTTTCTCCCTGTCCAGGACTAGTGCGCCTCTGACAGACACTTTGGTTGAAGCAGGCTAATGAGAGCCCCTCTTTGCTTAATTACCATACGGTTTACTTCAATTACCAGACTGTGGTCCCTGTGTGGGGCCTGCCACACTGGTGCTCCCCCAGCTCTCCACGCTTTCTCTCCCTCCTTGCCCTCCCCAATGCATGATCACTCAGCTCTAATTAGCAGCCCATGTTCATCAATTAGCTTTTAATGGAAAAGATGGAGGGGAGGCAGAGCGACCAGAGACCTGGTTTTATACAGGTGGAAAGACCAGCCACCCAGTGCTTACTTGCAATTAGCCTCATTTGGATGGTGGATAATGTGTGTGTGCCAGAGGGAAAGGGACAGAGTGCATGTCTGTATGTTTTTCCAAATGGTGTTTTCAAGTGCACAGTCAAACTTTTCATTTTTCATTCGGGAAGCCAACATTTTATACAAACAGAGCTCTCATCTACCCAGTGCAGCATCAAGTGTCTTTCTATTTTTGCACTTTCACCACTTGTCGTTTTTCTTTCTGACTCTCCTCCACTACCTCTATCTTTCTCTCGCCCCCACTATCTATGTCAATCCTACAGAAAGCAGACCTGGCCGTGGCAGGCTTCACCATCACGTCAGAGAGGGAGAAAGTTATTGACTTCTCTAAGCCGTTCATGAACCTGGGAATCAGCATCTTGTACAGAGTTCAACTGGTGAGGGTGTTATCGGGGGCTGTAGGGCGTCTGCTGGGTTATACGCACTACAGATCTTGTGTTGGATTGAATTTCTTTTGTTTGCGCTACTTTTAAGATGGCAGGGTCATACAGAAGATGATGGGCAACACTTGTTAAAAGATTCTTATGGAATCAGACTGAATATTACATAAGAGTTGATCTCATCTTTGAAGCTGAGGATTATGTTTGTGTATTAGGCTGCATGCTGCATTCACTGTGTTCAGAGTCAAATATATAGGTATAATTTAAATTGCTCAATAAGCCAGTGCTCCCAAACTGGGTGGCAGCTTTACATTGCTAATGAGATTTTGGGTCTAAGCCAAGTATGCTTCAGCAGTAGGCACTGTGAAACGGAGCATTTATGGATTGTAGCATTAGCGTATCAAAGCACTGCAGACTTACTATCAGAGTGCAGTGAAGGACACTGCCCTCCTGTGGTGCAAAGGGGACATTCTCTGACTGCTGAGACCTGACACCTTGTTTTCTAACAGACTGTACCTTCCTGTCTGTCTGTCTGCCACCGTCTGTCTGTGTTGCTCCTTCTCTCTACTTTCTTCTCTTCTTCTTATTTCTCTCTGTACCAGGGTCGGAAGCCGGGTTACTTCTCCTTCCTCGATCCCTTCTCTCCAGCTGTCTGGCTCTTCATGCTGCTCGCCTACCTGGCTGTCAGCTGTGTGCTCTTCCTGGCTGCAAGGTCCATACATTACATCACACACTGTACTGATAGTCTGCAGCTGACATCTGTGCTCTATTGCCATTTATCGCCTGTCACATAATGGAATTTTTTACCTTGTATAACCACAGATGATTTGACTGGGATTGAATAACTGATTGGGTGGTGACTTGAATGATATGACAGAGGTACATTACTGTAATGTAGTTTCACCTCAAGGTCATTCCACTGTACCTGTGTTTCCCCACCAGGCTGAGCCCCTATGAATGGTATAACCCTCACCCGTGTCTGCGAGAGCGCAGGGACATGTTGGAGAACCAGTACACCCTGGGAAACAGCCTGTGGTTCCCTATCGGAGGCTTCATGCAGCAGGGATCAGAGATAATGCCCAGAGCCCTGTCTACCAGATGTGTTAGTGGGGTGTGGTAAGTTACAGAATGGTTAAATGTAGGTGTGTGAGTGACGGCCAATTTAAAGTCCCCATCCATTTAACATGTGTAACTTCACTTTGCTGTGCTGGGTGATGTATGTCTTTGAGACTCGAAGGCTGTTTTCTAATTCATCTGCTGAAGGGGGGGATGTTTCTCTTTACTCAGGTTACATCTGAGCTCAAGATGTGTTTGTATGGGCAAGATTTTGTTATATCACCGGTAGTTTGGAACACAGTTATGACCTATTATGCAATTAACACAAGTGTGTGAAACCTGAAGCTTCCGGTGCACATTCACTGAGAAGTAGGAGACATTTTGCATCCAATGATAAAAATCTTTGAAATGAAAAATATTTGCATATTCATAGATTCTGGTTAGATGGAGATCATGCACTTTCAAGAAATGTAAGGTAGTTTTAAAAACAAACAAACATGTCAGACACAAATTAATATTAAATGCAGACATTTCTGGAGGCAATCTGTAAACTTATAAAAAGGTCACATGTGTTAATTGTTGCTATATGATGTTATATATTTAATTCACATGTTTACATGGTAGTAGTATTAATATGTATGGCACAAAATCAGAGGTTTACAAAGTGCTGAATGGTATCAACAGTAATACAATTGTTATAAAACAGTTATAAACACACACATTTAAACACATTAAATAAATTAAAGGGCATGGTAGACAAGATTATATAATAAAAACAATGAAATAGGAAGGCGCAGTAAATACAGGTTAAGACAAGAAGTCCAAGCCATACAAATGAGTCTTCAAACAACATGTAAATATATTAACAGAATCAGCCATTTTGACAATATATTCTCAGTTGTTCTATATTTTAGTGTCCATATTTGTAAAAGCTCAGTCCCCTTTAGACATGTGTTCTTAACTCATTTCTTCTTCAAGAACCTTCATTTTTCCTTGAGGCGGCTCTTTTTCTTTAAGCACATCTGCTGTGTGAGATTATGACATTTACATTTTAAAGTTTAAGCACGTAGCTGACATATAGCGTGGAAATTTCCATCCCTGAGCTCCAACATTTCAAGCAAACAATACAAAAATGCTAAGTTCACAGAAATACTAAATTAGCCTGATGATATTCCTGCGGCAATAGAGTGAGTGTGAAAGAGCCATGTGCAGAGAAAAAAAAATGCCAAGAGCCAAGGAGATAAAGGGTAGAGGAAGACAGGATGAGTAAATTACAGCAAGATGTGGTCTAAAGAATGTTATTACTATTGTGTTCCTTTTGAAGAAAGTTTTTAACATACAAGAAAGGTCATAAGAGAGTCCCATCTTCAAAGTGGGTATAGAATATTATCTGTGGATCCAGGAAGCCTTACCTTTAGGGTTGGGCGATATGATATGGATATACTGTATATAAATTTGGGAATTTCAGAGATTTTGCCATTCTGTTCATACTGAGGTATCTCTCCCTGTAATATCCCTGTATCAATGTAATGAATATCTTGATTTGTCAGGCAATTCCTGGTATTGGTCCTAAACAAATATTAGTAATTGGTGGTTTAATCTGGGAAAAGTCTTTCAATTCATTTTCCAGACAATTTATTGTATAATGATATGAAGCATCAAATTACTGTACATATACCATAATAAAAGACTGTATCCATATTGCCTATCTTACTTACCCTTTTCACTTTTGTCCTTCCTTTGTGGCCAGGACATCCTTGTAAAAGAGATTAAAAATCTCAATGGATTTCCTTCCTGGTAAAATAAAGGTTAAATAAATAAAAAGAAAAAATTGTCTCCACCTCGTAGGTGGGCATTCACCCTGATCATCATCTCGTCCTACACGGCCAACCTAGCAGCCTTCCTGACCGTCCAAAGGATGGAGGTTCCAATTGAGTCTCCCGACGACTTGGCCGACCAGACAAACATTGAGTATGGCACCATCCATGGAGGGAGCACCATGACCTTCTTCATGGTACGACCCACTGCAGCAGCTATGGCTCTGGTTTGGGATTTTTGAACGGGTATTTGTGTGTGTTCGTTATGGCAGTTGGATTAACTCTAGAATCTGACAATTTTCTGAATTGCTTTTAAAGTGACAATTTTTCATAAGGTTTTTGCGTTTTTGTGTGCATGTGTGATTTAGTGCCGTGTTTTTGTCTTTACTGCCGTGCCTGGAATGAGTGCTTGTCCTTGTATTTGCTACTATATGTCTGAGTTCCTCTGTTGTTTTCTTTATGGCTGTTTGTGTTAAGTGGCTGACTGCCTGTGTTTGCTTATGAGAGCGCTTCGGGCATCTGTGTTGGCATCTGTGTTTGTCATAGAGCGTGTGGGTGTGTGTGTTTTGTCTTTGTGTGTAGGTGTGTTTGCACATGGGAGTGTGTGTAGGTGAGTGTATTGAAACATATGTATTTGTTTATTTGTGCGCACGCATGGAAAATGGCTACACGCCACGTTGTGAGTGTGTGTGTGTGTGTTTTGCCTTCTTGTGGTGTTGAGTGTGTGAGCTGTCCACATTGAGGAAATAGAAAGAGTGGTTTATGTTTGCCTACATAAGCCAGTTCCAATGCTACAGTACATTACCCCACTCAATGCCTAATCCGCACACACACAGACGATACACACCCGCATTATTACACACAGATACCGCTCTCTCTACATTTTGCCTTTCTTCTCACAGACAATACATAGAGATCCAACATGTAATTGTATACTTTAAACACTTAATCCTGTTTTGAAGCTTGCCATATTTTGTTAAGTGCTGAACCACCTCCTGTGTGCTGATTTACCTCCATCTGTATGAAAGATGATGCATCAGCTACGCCATGAGCGAGTAATCTGTTGCCTTGATTCACATCGTTTTCCCCCTTTACTCTTTTCTCTCCATTCTCCCTCTATTTGCCGTTTATATTTTACTCTGCTTGTCATTATTCACAGTGGATTCTCTGTTCTACGTGTACTTCTCTCCCCTGTTTATCGAGGATGTTTTTTTTCCTTCATCCCTCTTTAATTTTTATCAACTTCCATTTGATTTCTACTTCAAAGACAGATGATAGGAAATGATAGGAACCTCGAATGTACGAACACACAACTGTAGTCAGTGTTTACCATGGCTGTGTTACCATTCCTCTGCAGAACTCACGTTACCAGACCTACCAGCGGATGTGGAACTATATGAACTCCAAGCAGCCCAGTGTATTTGTGAAAAGCACAGAGGAGGGCATCGCCCGGGTGGTCAACTCCAAGTATGCCTTCCTGATGGAGAGCACCATGAATGAGTACTACCGTGGCCTCAACTGTAATCTCACACAGATAGGAGGCCTGCTGGACACCAAGGGCTACGGCATTGGCATGCCACTGGGTAATAACACTCATATGTCATTTTTCAAACAAAACATACATTACAAAGTGCTTGTAGCAACTGATAATGTAGTAATGTAGTAAAACCTGTACATTTTATAAATTGCTAGAGGGAATTACATCACAACAATAATGAAGATTCATTAGTTCATTACAGTAACTTAAATTATCTCAGTGTAATTATGTTATCTCATCATTAGTTGGGTGTGAATGCTGCAAGCATTTGCATCCTATGTTGTTGCTTTTTGAAGACCCTTTTCTCTTTCTCTCTCTCGCCTGTCGTTCACTGGTCTTGTGCAGTGTTTAGTGTGCATTCCGTGCTGCCGACAGCTGCATGCACGCTGGGGTTCCTTGCAGGTATTTCAAGTAGCCGTACATTTAAAAACAATGTAATATTTTTTGGGTGGTTCATCAACGGTGATAAATTATCCGAAAGTCCCGCGAAGTGCGGACAACTCAGCACAACACCAGTGAAGCTGGAACTCCATCTGTTTGAAGCCTATAATTGGGTTTTGAAGACTTAAGTTTTGATTTAGTCAGTGCAATTTTCAAGACAAGCGATTTCAAAGCCTACAAGCCTTAGAGCAAACACTCAGTAACCTTTTGTCTTTTCACCTCTACTGACAAGATCTAAGGCTATGATCGGCCTTGTCAGGGATTTTATTGATCCCGTCTTTGATAAGACCTATAATTTATTAATAAAAGCCTGAAATCAATTGGAAAATAACAACAGGCAACTAATGCAGGGAAGTCACAAGGTATGCAACACTGACCCTTTTTTTGGTCCTGCTACAAACACAGCTTTTGGATTTAGGCAGAATAATTGGTAACAACATATCAAATTATGTGTGGTTGTCAGTGGTCTATTTTATATAACACTAAAATGATTTAAGTAGCATTCAATAGAATAGAAACAGCAACTGTTTTGGGATGTTACTTAAACTTTAAACAGAGATCAGAGATAACAACTTAATATTATGTTAAAGCACCAGGTTCCTCACAGTGATTGTGACCCTTCAATATGAAGCTGCATCTACTGTACTTGCAGCCCCCGGTCACAGTGTGCGTGTTTGAGCTGAGAGCAGTTCAGCTGAAGAATGACATTCCTTTATTGGACTGCTTAAAAAAAGCAAAGATAAGAGAAGAGTCTGAAAAATGAACACAAAAGTATGCAGATTTTCTATCCTCCCATGGTAATCATCCCATATAAACCTTTAGATTCCTTTTGCAGTGCCTTGTGGGGGCTCCGAGGATTGAATTCGCAGTGATATTCTTGCATTTAACATGTCAGATATCCAGCCCTGAGCATCAAACTTGTGATATATTGCAATACAGCTTGCTTACAAATGTCATTGGGCTTTTGGTACTGTAGTAATGGAAAACAACGGCATTGCAGTGAACAAGGAGTCCAAATTATAGGACATTGTACGACATGTAGCTAAAGAGGCAGAAGCAACATAATCACCAAAGGGACTCACAGTTTTGAACATAAAAGTTAAGAACAATTCAGTCCAGTACTAGGGATATAAACATATTACATTATAATCAGTGGTTTCACACAGATTTACTGTAGTTAAAAATGTATAGATGGCATATATAACTAACATTGTGTTAAACAATCTCTCTTATCTGATCTTAAAATACTTTCTCTTTAAACCTCATCAAAACAAATAAATAAATAAACTCAAATGACTCTGGGAGAGGCAGAAACACCTGCATGAGATCAATTATGCTAAATAGACACATGTAGTAGTACTGATGGGTGAGAGATTAGAGCTAAGAAATGTCTTGTACGTGGTTGATTTATTTTTTTTCTAAGGGATTAGTAAGTATTTCAACTGGAAGTAATGAACATGCAGTTAATTGCTTTTCCACTCACGTCCAGCTCTTCTGAAGCTCCTTCTTTAGCACATAGAGGTGGTTTCAATGCATCGATTTGTTCTAACAAAGAGGAGGAGGGCATGGCCAGAGAAAGGAAGGAACAGGACAGAAAGTGATATTTGACGGACTAGATGATGATGAAAGATGAAAGCAGCGTTACTGTACATCAGCATGCAGAGCAGACACAGACAAGAAGAGACGGACCAGAGAGGAGAAAGAGGTCTCAAAGTAGACCGCAAGGAGAAACATTTAAATATTTTATAATACTCTGAAAGGGTTGGTTCACCCATGTAAAAACAAAAACGATTTTATTGACAATTTGGACAGAACCAGTCTAACTTTTTCCCTGCTGAGCTAATCGTCTCTTGGCTATAGCTTCATATTTAATGGACATATATGAGACTGGTATCAATCTTCTCATCTAATTCTTGGCAGCAAAGCGAATAAATGTATTTCCCAAAATGTTCCAAAACTATTCCTTTAATTCAATTGAATTCACTTTGATGTCATTGCTTGGACAACACACACAATGACAATTCACATTAAAATATCCTACAACAGTTCCACAGCACAGAGAGCAATATATGCTGCTAGCCAGGAGTTCCAGTTCTGTATTGCAGCGGATAATAAAACTATTGTATTTTCGATCGGTTTGTCATGACGGGAAGTGATTTGATCCCAGAGGATCACTCAAAAGTGAAGATAAATGCTAGCTGAGATCATTTTCTCTGCTATGTTTGTGGGTAGTTTGGTTTAATTTGAAAAAAGTGCCTTTCAAGACCCACTATCCCCATTAGAATAATTCACAGAACAAAGCTATTATCATATGGTCTGTTTTCTTTTAGTAAGTAGTTCCAATGAAAACTGTTCACATCGAGGTCTGCTGATTATCTTCATGGGTAGATAACACTAAGGTAAATGAGAAAATGTATTTGCAATTTCTGGTGAACTGACCCTTTAAACCATACCATTATTTTCTACTGTATCTAGTTTATAATATGCTTTGTATTCTGTCTGACCAGCAGATGTACCACTGGCTCTGTCTGGTTGTAATCTCTCACTAATCTTCTCTTTATTCTCACAGTAAGATCACTCGTTGCTATCTCCAGGCTGTGACAGCACTCCTTTCCCTGTGATTCTGTCTCCTTTTCTCTTAAACATTGCTGATTTCATGTTTTTCTCCTCTTCTGAAATAACTCCTCTCTTGTTCGGGCTCTTTTGCTGCGCCTTTTTTGTCCTCCTTCACTTGCTCTTATCCTTGATTTCCTGTGATTTGCCAGGGTCCCCGTTCAGAGATGAGATCACGCTGGCCATCCTCCAGCTGCAGGAGAATAACAGGCTGGAAATACTGAAGAGGAGGTGGTGGGAGGGAGGCCAATGTCCCAAAGAGGAGGACCACCGTGCCAAGGGTCAGTCGACCGCAGCTGCCTGTCTCCTCTCCCTCCTCTCTAATGTCCTCAGTAATAGTCTCCTCACTGTCTGCTGCAGTCCAGCTAATGGCTAACGCCTAACCTAATGTCCTTGTGAAGGGTGCTTAGCGCAATCTAGTCTCCCAAATGTCTTCTGTTTGTCTCAGGTGGTGTGTAATGGGAATTTTATTAGAGTGTATCTGTTCACGCGTGTGTGTTAAATGCGCATGTTTATGTGTGTGTGTCTGTGTCTGTATAAATGACAAAGAATGAGGCAAAATGAAAATGCCTCTGCATTTATGCCACTGCTGTCAGATGAAAACCTCTTTTAAAAATTGTTTTTGTAACTGTGAAAAGAAAAGACTTCATGCCTTACTTTTCAGCATCATTTAGCTTCATCTGTACAGTGTATTGCAAGCATGTAGGGGGCCTATAATTCTGGTATTCATCATGGGCCATTTAACATTTTTTACATTTTATAATTCAATTGAAAGAGGACTCCAGTGAAAGGTCAAAATTGGAGCTGAGAAATCAGCAAATGTTCCTTGTATGAGCCAAGCTCCAAAAAATTGGATCCTACATTTAAATCCTCCCTGAGTGGTAAGGCCACACTCTTTCAAATTCCCTGCAGTTTATTACACAGGCTGTCTATTAAAAATGTATGGTCTCCAACCTAAGATTATGAAAGTGAGGTAATGGAGTAATTTTCTTAGACTTAAAGGAATAGTTTGACATTTTGGGAAATATGCTTATTAGCTTTCTTGCCGAGAGTTAGATGAGATGATTGATACCAGATTCTTGTCTGTACAAGAAATATGAAGCTACAAGCAGCAGCTGGTTAGCTTAGTATCAATCTTCTCATCTAACTCTCTCGCAAGACAGCAAACAAAGCTGTCTCCCAAAATGTTGAATTATTCCTTTAACAGAGCTCCTTCCGAGCCACAGAATACATTATACAACTGTATTCACAGGCTCTGTAGTACTCCTCAGGATTAGTAAACAAAAAAAAAGACATTTAAAACCATGCCAGCGTTGGTGTGTTTCAGCATGTGTGTACTAATGTTTGTCTCCTGTGGCCCACTCTCAGGTCTGGGCATGGAGAACATTGGGGGCATCTTCGTGGTGCTGATCTGTGGTCTCATCATTGCTGTGTTTGTGGCCATTATGGAGTTCGTGTGGTCGACTCGCCGCTCAGCAGAGACCGATGAGGTATGCCCCCATACCTGCCCTCGCCGACCCCACAGACACACCCCAGTAGGTTCCCATGGCATCCCGCCAACCCTTTTGATTATGTTGTTTTGTGTGTATGTGTGTGTGTGTGTGTTAGCGTGTGAGAGCGAGTAGATTTTTTCCAGCTTTTGCCTCCACTTGTGTTTGTTTCTTTGTTTGTTTGTGCTGTAACATCTGAAGTTCAATGTGTTATGTGCATGCGAGATGAGAGGAATGTTCAAGTATGTGGCACTGAACTGCTCTAGTTGCAAAATGTATACAGCAAACAGATAATTTGATTTTACTTTGCATGTCCTGCCTGTTTTGAAGTCACTGTGCCTTCCTAGTGTTTGGTGTTTAACAGTATAGCACTGTGTTTGTGAGCTAAACTTGATGGTACGGATAAGCAATATTGAGAAATGCCAATATCTGCTTGCATAAAAAAGTAGTGTGATCTTTTTCCCTGGCATTAAATGTCATGATGTATCTTCTTTTACATGCCTCACATGTACGCTGGTATTCTTCGTTTCCATTCTTGGATTACTTCTCACCCATTTCACTGTGTGTCTCCCTCTATCTCTCTCTCAAAAACACACACCTCCTGTCATTCGGCCATCAGTGTCTCTTCTCCGATAATGAGTACTGTTTCTGTTTATGTGAGCACATGACTTTTTATTATGATTTCGATGAGAATGTTGTTTGTCTGTAGTGGACATATTGATGCATTTTGTTTGTCCTGTGTGCAAATTACAGTAGTCATGCTGTTGGAATGATGGTAAAGATGGGTGCGTGTTCAAGTGTGTCCTACCGTGTGTGTGAGTACACAGCTGCTGTATGCGTGAGTGTGCCTTTGTGTGTGTGTGTGTGTGTGTGTGTGCACCTGAGTTTGCAGGCCAGCCTGTCCGTTCATAGTGCATAGTGCCATAATGAAGTGCCCATAAACTAAACAACATTTTGGTGTTTTGTGTGTTTGGATTGTAATAACTCTCTCTGCTCCTTGGATATTCTCCCATCTCTATCCATTTCTACATCCTTCCCCATCACCTCCTCATTTCTGTTTTCAAACCATCCCTCCATTTGTTAATCTCTGTGCCCTCGCTTGTTCTGCGACTTTTTTGTTAACCATGCCTTACTGTGTCTGTTCTTTCTGCCTTGTTCTTCTTTTTCTTTTCCTTTAAATTTTCTTGTTTACCCTCCGCCCTCCTATTTATGTACTGCCTTACCACTGTCTTGTTCTGCTGCCTGCCTACTTGTGTCTGTGGCACCCCTCCTACCTTTGCCTCCTTCCCTTCCGTTTTTCCCTCTTTCCTCTTTCCTCCCTCCTTACTTTTTTCCTTTAGGTGTCTGTCTGTCGGGAGATGATCACAGAGTTCCGAAACGCCGTCTCCTGTAAGAAGAGCTCCCGTATGCGCCGCCGTCGGCCCCTCAGCAGCTCAGCAGCCCTGCGCCACCCCACACGCATAGCTCTGGGGGCCCCTCGGCCCTTGCGCCTGGTCCGGGAGATGCGCCTCAGCAACGGCAAGCTTTATAGTGGAGCTGGCCCGCTGACAGGTGGAGCTGGAGGTGGAGCAGGAGGGACAGGGCTTTCCGATCTGGGTCCTGGGCCACAACGGATTCTAGATGATCCACTGGGGGCCAACACCACCCCTCCGCCACCAGCCCCTACCCCAGTAATGCTGCCTGCCCGCAGCTGCGCCCATGTAAGGATCTGTCAGGAGTGTCGGAGGATCCAGAGCCTGAGATCGAGCAGCAGTATAGGATCAACCACAACAAGAATACCACCTTCATCAGCACCCCTGCCCAGGCTACCCCCACCCCCACCCCCATCCTCATCCAACACAGACAGTGAGGGTGGGGGCGGGGCCAGCCCGAGGCGGCCACACCACAGCCCCCCACCTCATACCTCCCGACCCATTCCCCCTCCACAAAACAGCAACACCACAGACCTACTGGGTGATCAGGACTGAGACAAGAAGCAATGGGCTGGATGAGAGGGCCGCAGGGAGTCAGTGATGTGACACTGAGAAACACCGCTAGTTTCCACAGGTGAAATTCATCTGAGAACAAAAGAGGGAGAGATTGAGGAAAAAACGTTGAACTCTGCAAGCTCAGCCAATCGAAAATGAGATGACCTTTAAAAGGAGAATGAATTGAGAAACCGTGTAATCCTTTCTCCAGTTGAGCTTCAGGCCTACAGATACAGACCTGGCTACAAGCACGCTGTTAGATGGTCAAGGGTTAAGCTTCTGTAATCAACTCCGAAGAGCAAATCTGAGCGGAGATGCACATGACCTGATGATGGTTTCCATTGGCTCCTTTTTCCCTCCTTACTCCCCTCTTACTTCACCTTTAGATTTGAGGATGCTGGTTTTCTTCCGCAGACACTTCCCTGGAAGCTAACTACACCTGTAGTAAAACGAAGCCTTGTTGGAGGACATACTGTATCCGTATGTGATTTAAAACAGCAACTTAAAAGACTTCAAGAGAATTATTTCCTGTTGTTTTTTTCTTTTGTTGTCTTTCTTGTTTTGTTACCATTGTTCTAAGTGGGAATTACAGAGTTAAATACAGACTATGTGTGACACTATGGTGGATTATAACATACTAAGAAACTTGACTGCGGCTAGTTTTGTGTCCCTCCCTGAGCCCCAAAGCTGCTTTTAGGAAGGTATCAGGTAAGGTGGATGAAATGACTTCAAGGCAACATAATGCAACCAGTAGCAGAGGAAACTGTCGGTCTGCCTTTCTTTACACTGTGCGTGTGTGTGTGTAAAAATTTGTGCTTCCTGTAAGTCCGTCTGTAAATACACAAAGCGAGCAGAACCATGTACCCAGCTACAGCACCCTTCTACAAATGTTAGATTATCAGACAGCCACAAAAAGAGAAGAGAGAGAGAGAGAGCGAGTCTTTGAAATGTGAAATTAATGTCCCTCGTTATCCTGGGTAACGCTTGCCAAGCCTTTACTTCTTTTTCACCTCTGTTCACACAGCGTAGAAGAGATAGAGAGACCAGGCGAGGCAGAGCCAGAGACAGAGGGGCAAGATAGAGAGGAACAGAGAGAGAGGACACAGAAAGAAGCAGAGAGTGAAAAGGACACTCCTGAATTTGAACGAGAAATACCTAACTGAACTACTTCCATTATTAGATCTGTCCGGATCTGTTAATTCTGGGCATCTTTTAAGGGGCTTGTTAATGCGCCAGCAGGCTGTAGCTGCAGCCTCCTCCCTTCTCTCTGTTTAACAGACAGACTTGGCCGTGCACTGTAGAGGCTCCTGCCAGAGTGATAGACTCAACACAGCCTTGTCAATACTGTCTCAAGCTTTTGATCGCCTAATTACTTCCCTCGGTGGCTGGGGACTCATTCAGGAGGGGGTTGAACACAAGAAAACATGCTGATAAATAGATTTAGAAGAAATAAATGCTTTTTACTCTGGCTGCAAAGGGAATCTGGTCTCTTTTAATTATGTAGTTAATGTTACAGCCCTACAGTTGTATGAAACTCCCACTAAAACATTTTAAACTCTACAGTCGCTACTAGCCACAGTGCTTAAAGGGAATACACTGGTGGATTTGCATGTCTCAAATTGTACACTTCATATTATTCATTAGACAGATTTCAAATCTCCCAAATAGCCACTGCTTTCACAACACATAATCGTGGTGTAAAAATCACATTGCACAAACTTGCTTTAGATAGCTGGAACATTAAAGGATAAGGCTGGTGACATTCTATATTTTTATAATTGTCAACAAATCCAATGCAAAGACCAAAACCACCAATCCATTAATCTGACACTAAGTAGCCAAAGCCTCATGTAGCGTATTCCTTTGTGCCATAGACCTACATTGTTTAAAAAACAATTAAAAACACATTAATGAGTCACATTGTTGCACTGGTTTGAGTAGAACCTTTTTTTTAAAATGAAAGTATATATTTGTGAACATTTTTTAAGAGTTGCATCTTCAGTGGGGCAAAATGGGATTGTTGATGAGCGCCACAAAAAGGCTGGGGAACTCAGAAAGTATTGAGAGACACACGAGATTTGTTGAGAAGAAATAAAATATAAAATACTGCCAGCTTTATCACTTAAATCCGCTTTATTTTATGCACCATCTTCATCCATCGTCAACCGCTTATCCTGCGTACAGGGTTGTGGGGCTAGAGCCAATCCCAGCTGACATTGGGCCAAACAAATAACCAGTCACACCTAAGAACAATTTAGGGACACCAATTAACTGCATGTCTTTGTGGGAGGAAGCCGGAGAGAGAACCCACACAGACACAGGGAGAACATGCAAACTCCACACAGAAAGGACGGGCAACCAGGGTTTGAACCCACGCCATTCTTGCTGTGAGGCGACAGTGCTAACCACTTTACCACTTGCCGCCCCGTCACTGTCTTATTGATTTGAATTAAATAAAGCTCTTGCTTGCATTGATGTTCAGGATCACAAGAGATCAGATCAGTTTTAGGTCAGTAGTAAAAGAATGAGCTGCAGTCCACTTATTTACATGAGTGCAGGACAGATAAAAGGTGTGATTGGTTACTGCAGCATGGTTTCATTTTAGTTTACCCTAATCAAACGTGCCCATGATTACTTTTATGTGCTGCAGCTGTGTTCTCTGTGGTATAACACATCTGTAAAAGGGTCCCCTCAGAAGCAAATGTTACTGTGTCAACAGTATTTATATACATTTCAACAGTATCATATTTCCTGATATGTTGCACAATAGCCTATCAGCCCCAGATTATATATATATTTTTTGATATGACATCATTATCAAGTGCTGTATTAGCAATTTCTGCACTGCAGGTAGTTGACTCATCAATTTCTCAGTGTTCATTGAATCAGTTACCTAATCAGTTCCCAAAACATTCACTGTAGAGTGACTCACTGCTTACTGCTGAACTATGGGGCAGTCTGACACAAACAATTAGTTATAGTTAGTATAGTATACTGTGCTATAAAAAGGAAATGCTGACATCCATGATCTAAGGGTTAGCTAATGCAACGTTTTCAATGCAAGATATTACTGTATTCCCATCATCCTGTTCAGTGTTCATGTTTGCTTATTGTTCATCTTTTATGGTTTGATTTACTGACAGCAGATCTTTTGAATGTAATGCTTTTCAGCAGCAACAAGGACACAGGCCCTCACTTGCTTCACACCCATTCAGACTCAGCAGTAACGCACCAAACCACCAGCTTAGCCCATTGCAAATGAACCCTTGATAACTGGCATTGTTGTTTAGGCAAACATTGCATTGCTGTATAACGGTAAGTGTTTTGCAGTGAAGCTGATTTGTTGACACTGTTGTGCTCCAGATAATGATTGATAACATTGTTTGCGCACATTATGCTGTTTCTCTGAATGACTGCTGTCAGCAGAAGCATGCCTGGATTTCATGTGTCTCTTTCTCTCTGTTTACTTCTGCTTTTGTGTTCAGAATGCTGACTAGGCAACAGGAGCCAACCAAACTTTCCACATGTGGTCACAGTATACAGACACACACGTGCTCACATACAAGAGACACACAATATCTTCACTTCTGTTTCCCTTGTTGTCTAAAGGCTGTAAACCCACTGGCAGTTTTTTTCTTTCATTTTAAAATTTGTCTTCAGAGTCTTCTTTGGTTTGTTCTGTGTACAAAATCACAAAACTTGATATTTGACAGCACCACATAGTCAATAAGTGACTATCAAGAGCTTTAAACAATCAGCTGAAGCATTTATAAGCTGCAAAGCATTACTGTGGAGAGACAAGAAGAGAGTACAAACCCTAAAAAGCCCAAATATTGCTAGTATGAATATCAGAGGTAAGGGAGGGTCACAAAACAAATCTGGGGTGTCTGAACGGCCACCCCACAAAACAAACTTTTTTGTTTACTTTTATGTTCTTTTCTTTGGTATTTTTTCATATTTCTATACCAGTGCTAAATGGATTATTAAAACTGATGATGAATATTATTATTAAATTGTTGTTATTATTCCTATTGAAGAGCAAGAGGTTCTATAGTGTGATTGTGGGTGAAGGGTGTGGGATGGGAGGTGTTGGGGTACAATGACAGATTGCCCTGTTGTTCAAACCTATAGACACAAACTTCTTTTGGAATAAAAATATACAAACTGTTCCACAGTGACATGCGTCTTTGTTGTCTGGTTGATATGATTTACTGATATGGAAACAATGTAATCATAACGCACTGCCTTAAAACGCCATAGGTCTTATCTTCATGTCTCTTACCTTCTAAACAGAACTCTACATTATAAAGAAAAATGAGAAACTAAAGATAGGTGAAAATGTGGAACTTCATTATACAACAATAGCCACTAATACAAAGTTCTGTTTTAAAGTAAATGTAGAGAGAGTTTAAAGAATTGTGCACTGTTGCTTCTGCCTATCCTGTTGTCTGCATGATTTGACAAACAAGCACTGACTTTCAACAGAAAATACATGTAACAGAACAGCAAATAAAAAACAAACAAATAAGTTTATTTCAGCTGAGAAATATTGACATGGGGCATCTACAATCTAATTTCTCCACAGAAATAGAAATGGTTAGTTTCACTCAGTTTAGCTCATTTTTGCTTCTGTAATTTTCATTTTTTGTCATTATTTTCTTTGTTTTCTCTAGTTTGGAGAAACAGGAAGTTTGTGTGCTAACTAACTAAACTCTTATTGCCTCATTACATTACATAACTCTTTTTGGCCAATTGCAACAAGATTAGGCATCTTATGTTATGTCAAGCCCTCAGAAACAGCGTTTGTGCTGGGAACTTGATGACACGGGAGGGGGGGTCTCTTCTGCAAGATATATGTAAATATACTGTATGTATATTTGCTGGGTGAGCAGCTTTCACTGGAACGAATGGCCACCAGGTTTGGATTTCTCATCCATTGTATATTAGATCCAAAGTTTAGTTACAAACCGTGTGCATGACATGAGTGACATTCATGTAGGAGCCCCACCTACAGAAACAGTCATGATTGGCTAAGATTCAGATGCTGTGAGATTTGTGAGGGCCTGGAGGAGCCACAAGTTTTGAGTTTTATTTAAAGAACAGGCCTTAGGGTGGCAATGGTCCAAATTTTATTATTGTCGACAAATCCCATGAAAATCCAAAAACTAACATTGATCCATTGTTGTCCAAAAACTAATGAAAACACAAAAATGAGCCACATAGTTGTCCTGGGCGATATTCCTTTATTGTAATGAATTATGTAGCCTCAAACTAACTCCAAGATCATCTTGTCTCTTTCAATCACTCATCAATGGACCACCTGTATCTGAAAGACAAACAGGCTTTTATCAAGCAAACTGAAACAAACAAGAGATATACAGTTCATTAATATGGTGCTGTAAAAAGAAGAGAAGAGGAACTTGTGACTTTTTTCTCACCAGTGTCCACGCCGTGTCTGACCAAAGCCTCACGTCTGATAAAAAAAAAAAACCAAACCAGTTTTGATTAGTTCTTTTGCACATAACTACCTGATTTCAGAAGTGAATTTTCTTCCAATTCATAGGCACTTTAAATTACAGTATGTGCTTTTATAAAACAATGAATAGCAGCTTCTCTTTATAGACCGAATGGACTGAATGTAAAATTAACTTTATCTAGTGTCTGCAGTGATACTGTAGATGATGAACATATAGTTGTTGATCATTTTGAACTGTATACTCCATAAAACACATCACACACACAAACATACACACCTTTTTCTGAGAATGAAGTAAGTTATTGCAAACATGGTCACAACCATGAGCATGAATACTCCAGCGGCAATCATCCTTGCTACAAATGACGTGTGTTTTGGCATTTGTTCTAGGAAAAGAATCACAACTATGATCAACTCCAAAACACGTTAGGAGTATTTTTGACAAATAGTTTGACATTTTGGGAAAAACACTTAAATCATTTAATTTTCTCCAGGTAAAAGTTTAAATTAAATGTAAGTTTCTAGAAATAGTTTGGCACATACAAGGGCGGGGGCACACAGTGAAAAAATTTTTACAAATTTATGCTTTGTGGTTCACAATATTGTGCAGTCTCTGCACATGTTTACACAATTTTGAGCTGTTGTTCATTATTTTAATGAGCAAAGACGAGCAAAACCGTTGCATCTCAGAGATCATTGATCAAGTAAACCTCATTTTAATTCCACCAGTTCAGCGTTTGAGTTGAGTTTCAGAGGCCAAAGCTTGTACCATTAAGCTGTTACAGATCTGACTTCAATATTTGATACTCACTTTGAACAACAAGGTTGGTGGTTCCTTCAAATGAACCACTAGGAAAGGCTGCAATATTGCAGGTGTATGACCCTGCATCTCTCATTTCCACATGTCTAATTATCAAGGATTGTTCTTTAATGTCCACTCTCTCCTTCAGAAATATTTTGAGCAGCAATTCCATAGTTCCCATTAGAAACAATAATGTTCAGTTTCTCTCCTTGTGGTGGATTCAGATCCCACTGAACTGAGTAACATTTTCACCTTTTGATCCTGGGATAAAGTGGCATGGCAGGGTGACATCCTGTCCGAGGTATCCAGTCACTTCAGGCCAGACTTTGACTTCTTGTGCCTCAAGAACTGCCAAAAATGTTTTGTGGAAGTAACATGTTTGTCAATGGTGTGTTAGTTTCACCATAAAAGCCTCTAAAAACATTTTATTTAATAATTGTTATTTTTAATAGGCTATTGACCTTCCAGGCACCACTAACCTTAATCAAGGGAGAAAGGTAACTAACTGCCTTAAAGCTAGGGTAGGTATGGTGGGAATCTAGCAAGAGACATCTAGATTTTAAAAGTATCCAATGGAAATATCCCACCACCTTATTGCCCTCCCTCTAAAGCCACTCCCCAAAACACATCATTTCGGATCTAATGAAATGACTGGCCATGCTTATTACAGTGCTGCCACAGATTAGTTTTTTTTTATTTTAAGAATAAGAATATTTGATTCATTTATTTATTTAAGAAATTTCAACAAACAACAAAACATGCTTCAGAAATAAATTGCCTACCCCTGCTTAATGTCACTTCACACCACTCCTGTTCATTTCATAGGGAAATATACTTTTTACTTCACTACATTTATTTAATAGGCCTAGTTAAAGTCACTTTGGCATGCAGAACATATGAGCAACTTGAAACATATGATGCAGTGTTTTACATTAATCTACTGTATTTAACTGTATGCTTGAAATGTTCAGCTAAAACATTCCAAGAACTTTAAAATTCACCTTGATGTATTAGTAACAACCCAATGATATTGGGAATGTAAAAACAAACGGTATTTCTTCTTTTTTCCCTATTTTGCCTCAAACGAAAAAACAAACCATGAAATGTACACGGACCATTTTGCTTATAATAGGCTACTTGTGTAGCCTACTTTTATTTGAGTACAAGGACTTTTACTTGCAATTAAGTATTCTGTGTTACATTTACTCAAGTAAAAAAAAGGAAGTGAAAGTTTCAGTACTTGTCTTAATGAAATAGTCAGCATTTCATAAATAACCAAAACCTCTTGTCTTACCTTGAATTGTGATATAAATCAACAACAGACGTACAAGGGGTGATCTGCTGCAGATTTTCATTGAGCACATCTACAGGGGTCAACAGAATTACAGAAATAACAATTATACAATGACTTTGCTGTGTTTCCTGCAGTGTTGAGACTTCCTATGGTTCATTCCTCCCTGCCTCCGCCAAGAAACCCCTGTAGCACACTGACCTCATGTGGTCAACTGATGATGATGTGCAGACATGCTCTTGTGTTGTGGAATAAAAGTAAGAGGTAATACCTGACAATCTATGATTCGTTCTACAATCACAGGTTTTAGGTGTCTGGTTACTAAAAGATAATCCAACACTTCCAACCAATCAGAACTGGGAATTCTCAGTGGCCATGGTATAATGAATACTAGAGTTTAAATGGAACAAACAAAAAAATCCTGTGAAATCCTGGCTGCTCAAAACCATAGTGTATGCAGTAACTGCGAAAATATATTAGAATATTTAAAATAGATCCATAAGTAGTAAAACTATATTTAATCCATCTTTATGTAGCATTAAGTAACAGTATGGTTGTTAAAGAAAGCCATGAAATAAATAAGTGAACATTCCCCATTGCTATAAAAATCTTCATAAAAAGTTTTAGGAAGCACCAAAAATGTCATTATTGATGACAAGCCTGAAAAATGATTAAGCAAAATAGGTTTTCTTAGATGATTTTGCAATAGGAATGTTTGTATGTCAGTGTTGCTTTGTTTAACCTGTCAATCCAATGAATTTATCCTTTTTAATATTTTGTATAAGCATCATTTTGATGTTGGAGGAATAATGTTGTAACTACTGTATATTGTTTACTGTATGTGGTGTAAGTGCAAACATTGTTGATTGTATGTAATTTATTTAAATGTCCCATGAGGGATACAAATAAACAATATGCTGGCAAACATGTTGTTGTTCGACACTGAAGTGGCTCTATGTGTCTAAAATAAGGTGAAATTACAAATCTAATAATGGTTCCTTATTACTCATTTTCACAATGTACACTGAGGGAGGTGCAGACCAGTTTTGCTTGAACACATGTTCATTAAAATAAAACCAGTTACACAACTCTTTTCCAAACCCCAAATGTTTTCAGCTATCTTGCCTTAATCAGGGTGGTGTTTCCTTAACTCGCAATTATGGATGGGAGTTAATTTTGTTGAGCTTTCATAGAAAGGCCCCTGTGTAAGTGCACAGGAGGTTTGCCTTGACTGTCTGCATTTGGGAACTATCTCTCTGCCTTGCATTACCAGTCGTGAAAATGCTTGCTGTTTTGTCCTCAGGTTAGATTACTTCACAACAAAGCTCATGAATATGCATGGCTTATTCTCAGTAGTACTACTACATTGAAACGTGTCTTTGCTTTATGAGTGAACTGCATTTTTTCTTCTCTGTCTGAGTAATATGATGAACTACCTTCAAACGGCATTTGTCTTATCTCTCTTATCTACTTCCTGTCATAACCCTACAGTACAAAACAAACCAAGAAAAGAAGAGAAACCACGGATTTCACAAGATCTGTGAAAATGAAGAATTTTATTAAGCAACAAACAAAAAGTTTTGTTTTAAAGCAAATGTAGATAAAATGT